CGGGGTCGCTCCCAAAGTGTCTGCCCAGAGTTAGCTTTGGTCTTAGTGTATATAGGTTTTGCAAGCCAGAGACGCAAAACTTAAAAGTGTGGTGAATTTTATTGGGTAGCATCAGGTACTCTTTGCTGCTGAGCAGAAAGTCCATGAGATAAGTTAGCAAACAGGATGTGTTCGGGGGAGAAAGTACGGGCTGTGCAGCTGCTTGCGGTCACACTGCAGGGTTATCTCTGGCACAGTCGGTCAAGGCTGAGTTACGTACATGGTGGGCTGTACCACCAAATTATTTTGTCCTAATATGGTGTCAGACTACTAGTTGGTTTTTAATTTTTTTTAAATTTCCATCACAGCTGGACTCCTGCTCGGTCTGAAGTCTGTACCTCCGGTGCAGCCCTCCCTCCCAGAGCTGGGTGGCAGCAAATCCGGTCTCCTGCAGCCAGACGTCCGGCATGGGAGCAAATGTCACACCGGTGGACCCGGGCTGTGGCTCCCACATCCCTCTCTGCCCCAGGGCTCCCTTGCCTGGTGGCCCTGTCTGCCTCCAAGGCCACATTTGGCTGCCACCCTCCCTGCCCTGGGTTCTTTGTCCTTCCTGTGTTTGACCCCTCCAAGCCCCCATCAGCCTCCAGCTTCTGCTGTTCACACCCCAATCCCCATCATGATCTACTGAACGAGACCCAGTGTCTTCCTAAGAGGAACTCAGTTTCCTACTTTCAAAGTAGCATCCACCTGGTACGGTGGCACACACCTGTGATCCCAGCACTTTGAGAGGCTGAGGTAGGAGGATCAAAGTTCAAGCCCAGGTCTGAGCAACCTAGCAAGACACTGTCTCAAACAACTGAAAAAAAGGGCTGGGGAGTTGGCTCAGTGGAATAAGCGCTTGCCCAGCAAGCGCAAGGGCCTGAGTTCAATCCCCAGTTCCGGGGGTTGGGTGGGGGGGAAGCCTGGGGATGCAGCTCAGTACAGAGGCCCTGGGTTCAGGCCCCACCCCTATTGTCCCAGCAGTATTTGCTTCTGGTGTATTAAGAACTGATTTTGTGTGACAGGAGCCTCAGGACTCAGAGATAGAATGAGCAACTGCCATCTCCGCTGTTGTTGTCCCACCTTGGGCTGCCGCCTCAGCCTTGGCAGCTCGGCCTTGGCACCTGCTTCTTGGGTGGCATGTGACAGACTCACAACAAGATGCCACACACAGAAGCCGAGACACTGGGGCACAACCCACCCCCAGTGCACAGGGCTGAAGACTCACTCCCAGGCCCCCAGGCCCCCAGGCCCCCAGGCATGTGCCCACTGCTGCCTGCCTAGGATCGAAGTCTCTGCTCTGTCATCTCCACTCAGTATTGACAAAGCAAAATACAAAACACAAAGCAGGAAAGAAATGCACCCTGTCACTCGGACTCCCCCCGCCCCCGCCGGGCTTGGCAGCCCCTGGCCGCCCCCGCCTTTGTATTATGGGTTTATGTCAAGGTATGTTGGATTCTAAATTAAATGTCAGCCCACTGTACATTTCTGGCTCCAGCCGCAGCAAGTGAGGAGCTGGCGCTGGAGACCATCCAGTTGTTCGCTCGCCATGCCTAACCGCGAGGGTGACAAGCCCATTGAATCACAGCGCAGTGCCTCTCCCTGCCACGGCAAGCCAAGATAAATTTATTTTTAATGATAAATGTGACTGTCAGAGTTAAGTTGAAACAGCTTCACAGTACAGCTGAGTACCCTCGGCAGCTCAGGGCACAGGCTGGGTGGATGAGGGCCAGGGGTCCTGACGTCACGGCCCGGCAGCCTGGGCCCGAAGGGACAGCAGTATCCAGCATTCGGCCCACGTCCCATGACCCACCTCATGCCGGCTCAGCAGCATTCTCTGAGCTGCTCAGGCCTGGCTCTGGCCGAGAAGCCTTGGGGCACTGGGGAGAGAGACCTGGGCTCTGATCAGAATTCAAGTTCCGATCCTGCTGACTGCTGTGGGATCTTAGTCAAGGCACTTAATCTCTCTGAGCTGCAGTTGCTTTGTCTTTTAAAAGTAAGGATGTTAAATCAGGTATGGTGGTGCATGCTTTTGAGCCCAGCGCTCTGGGAGGCTGAGGCAGGAAGACTGCAAGTTTGTGCTCAGCACCTGAGCAACGGAGTGACTTAGCAAGAGCCTGTCTCAAAATAAAATGAAAAGCAAATAGGGCTGGGGTTGGGGCGCTGTGCAAAGGTCCTGGGTTCAGTCCCCAGGACTGCATACGTAAACAAATAAACAGGGACATTAATAACACACATGGGGCTTTGGAGAAGATAACAGGGAATAAGGCATGTTGCGAAGGGGCCACGTCCACAGGAAACATTGATTAAAGGTTGTTGAGTATTAATGGTGTCATTTTATCAAGAGACCATTGTTCATTGGATACAACAGCTTTTAGAGTCAGTTTCCTCCCTCTAAGGTGGGGGTCACGATGGCTCCGTCTGGTGCGTTGCTGGGAGGATTGGGGCGCCTGCCACCAGACTGATGCTCAAGACGGCAGCAGGTCCAGGGCTGGCTCCTGCATGCTGTCCCCCATGTGACGCTTGGCTGTCTTCTGGGTGCTGTGTATGACTCTCCAGCATGGGGGTGCCTCACCACCCGCCCGGCACACACTCCCTGGCAAGGCCGGGCCCAGCAGCTGCGCCCCCACGGGACAGTGCCTCTAGCCGGCAAGGGCAGCCGCTCCCTGTGATTGATGTGTCCTGGCTCTAGGGGAGGAGCAGGACATCGCTGCCCTTCTCTCTGGAATTTAAACGAAAAATCGCAGACAGGAAGGCGTTGCCTCTGAGCATGGTCATCACAGCCAGGTGCCTGTGGGCGGGAAAGGCAGGCACAGGCAGAAATGGGGGCAGGAGGGGGATGCCAGGCAGCTTGGGGGCTGGCCCAGTGTGGCCTATGCCTATCAGCCTCGGCAAAGGCTCTCAGAGGGTGACAGACTGTTCCTTCTCCCACGTGGATCTCAGGGCCTGTTTCAATTCCCATCCCCCAGCATCACACCTGCAGGCTGTTGAGCGGAGATGACGCCCCCCAGGGTCCCAGGTGGGCACAGCACAGAGCGGAAGCCCGCCGCTTCACGCCTGTGCTGCCCGCTGCAGACCCCTCCTCTAGGGTCCTGAGCAGAGGTGGGAGGGGTGTTCAGACTCTTGCACCCCTGCAGCATCGAGAGCCATTACAGCTGAGCAGGTCCGAGACTGGCAGCAAGCACTGCCATGAGGAGCCACTAGATGGCCCCCGCGTGCCTGTCCAGTGCCTTGCTGCAAGCCTGGGAGCAGAGTGGGCTCCTGTGTCCACTGGGCTGGGCGACCACTGCACCTGCACCACGGAAACGCCCACTTCTCTGCCTCCCTACTTACCTCCTTCCCCAAGCCTTCCCAATGGCTCAGCCACAGGGGGACTGCACCTTCCTCAGGTTCTCAGTGCCGAGCCTCCCCAGGGTGGTCTCCTGGCTACTGCCCGGGGGAGGACACGTCGCTCCCACCCCTGTGAGATCCTAGAGGTGAGTCTATCCCCATGTCAGCTTTGTGCCAGGCACTGCCGAGTGCCCCACAAGCCTCAAACTCTTAACTTCCATGTTCAGAGAGGAAACTGAGGCTGGGGTACAAGAAGCCCCCTCAAGGTCGCAGGAGGTAGTTGAACTCTGCTTGGTCGGCTGCTTAGCACAGGCTGAAATCCAGAGAGCCCTCTGGAAGCGGGCGCTCTTCACGCTTTGGGAAACTGAGGCTCAGAGGTGCAGTCGCTGGCCTCAGACCACACAGCCAGCAAGGTCTCCACCCCTCTGTCCGTGTCCAGGGCCCTCACGGTCACCTGCTGGCTCCTAATGGATAGGACAGACCAGGTGCCCTCCAAGAAGAGCAGGGGCCAAGAGGCGACTATCTGACTGCCAGCAGGCCTGGTGGGCAGCGGGGTGGGCGCCCTGGGGCCCAATTGGGGTTGTGGCCGGTGGAGAGGACCCCACCTCCAAATCCACCGAACCCATTTCTGAGCTAGGTGCTCCAAGGGACAGGGAGAGGAGACTAGGACGGGGCGACAGAGCTGCAGCCGGTGGGGGAGACCAAGCGGGTGCCAGGGAACAGCTCGGCGGCCAAGGCGCCCCGCGAGCTGGGAAGCAGCGTTGGGAGATGCGGGGGGCGGGCGGGGGCGTCGCTCGGAGCTGGAGGGGGTTGTCGCGCACGCACGGAGCCACCCGGCCAGAGCCACAATAGCAGCTCGTTAACGCGCAGATTAAGGACTTTGTCAATTACCTCGAAGGCTGCGCAGCGGATTAAACGCTTTCAGAAGCGCTGGGGCGGGAGGGGGTGGCAGGAAGCCCCCGGCTCAGATCCCTCCCCGGCCGCGGCGGAGTCGGGGTACAAGCGGGACTGGGGGGGGGCTGGGACTGGCCCCGGACGTCGGGGACCTCAGGGCCGCCACCCCGCACCCCACCCCCACGCCTAGCCCGCCCTGAGCTTCCAGGAGCGCTGCGCCGCCCCCCGCGGGGACTTGGGGCGACTGCCGCCCAGGAGGAAGTTTCAGGGGTCCCAGGCCCCTCGGGAGCGCGCGCAAGCACGACCGCCAGGGGACCCCGACCCGATCCCTCCTCGTCACGGTATCTGCGCCCTTTGCAGTGAAGTGTCCAAGTGCGCGCGTGTGCGCGCGTGTGCCGGGGAGGCCGAGGGAGCAATAAAAGGCAAAGAGTCCGAGACAAAAAGACGCGGAGTGGGGAGGGGGAGCGGGCGGAGGCGGGGAGCGCGGGGCGCGGGCGCGGGCGCGGGGACGGGGACGGCGC